GGTGTCCCCTTTTTCTGCGATAGCATTAACAAACATTGAACTATTTCTGAGCTTGGAGTTTAAATTATTCAAAAGTAAAAATTGTAGTTTAACTATTCTTACAATGGATTCTAATTAGCAATGTAGTTTCCATAAGCTTAACACGAGGACCTAAAAGGCCTGGTGGGAAACACTGATTAAAACACAGAAACAACGACTATTTTGTATACTACTTTTGGGCTATGGAATTAATATGTTTAGCTAAATATATATACTGCAGTAGCTTAGGCGTTACTGTAAATCACAATAATTATTAATCACTTGCATGATTAAAATGTTGGTTAATAAATTTCACATGCCGTTTTAGTGGTATTTAACCCTTCTCACGATTTAAACCACTGTTACTAGAGCCTCTCATTCATAGTGCCTCACATAATTACTAGAGAAACACAACGAATAGTCACAATCAATCAATAGCAAACCAGTATGTGTCGCAGGTGTAACAAGTACATTTGTTTCTTATGGATGATGATAAAGCTTGTGAGGTTTTTCCACCATTATGGAATTTTAGATAATCCCACTGCGTAAATTCTAAAGACTATGGGAATGTTTAGTAACTATATCCTCAATTTCTTGCTCTCTTTATATTTACACCTAAATCTGCGGTGACTTATTTGTTAATGTAATCGATAAGTGTGCCATGATCTTTCAAAGTTTTGTTGTGAAACTTTACATGTCACTTTGCATACTCGCATGACCTTTTATCAAAATTGTTTAGTAACTGAAATTCTAGATTTTTTCTCCCTGTCTACAAATGTCTCCAGTTCAGCTACGGTGACTTGTAGTTGTTCAGTGTCACCTCTATTGTTGATGGAGACGGTGAGTTGTGAGTTGTTCTACCATGACCTTGCCCACTACACGCTGATGGTCGGTGGTTTGGATGTTAAGCCAAGTATTTACGAGCTCTTTCTCAGTTTACTGCACCACATCCGTGCAGATATTGCGGACGTAAAATAGAAAGTTCACTTCAGTGGCTACAGGTACAGAGAGATCCTCCGTTTCACTTGTACACTATTGTACTGCTACATCCTTGAAAACTGGACAATCATGATGAATCGAATCGTGACAGATTTTTGTCTGTATATTATATTCGATCATCTACTGTATTTCCTAAGACCTCCAAAACCGACAAACCACTGCTGGATAAGGTTTTATTGTTAAACCATCAACAATGATGTGCATCGTATAGTTTTCCCCTTTATTTATGTGAAAATGATTGCCTGATTGACGTAAAATCCGTTAACTGAGTTTTATTCATTGTAATGTTAAAGCACAATTTTAATCCAATGTTAAATGTGGATAATTTCAAAGTAGTTGTTTTGAAATTACGATGGTGTATTTTTGACATTATACATCTTTGTATTAGCATTTAGCCCTTCAATACATTAAAAAGCAAATGAGACAAGCAGACAAATGTAGTCATAATTTCTGTATAGATTCCTTAACATTATCCCCAGTTGAATAAATACTCCGATATGCTCCACGGAGCTTAGCTCTACGAGGATTTAGAAAACCGCAAGGGTAAGTGACCTTGTAAGGAAAGTAAGAAAGTGAAATAGTACCGGAGGTGAGCAAATTAGGGGGTAGCGTTCATACATTAGCTTACTTCTTCAACATCTGTAACTGAAACAATATTTTACTGACAGTTGACCATGAAGTGAACGTTGCGTGCAGAGTAGATGTACTCTGGTGGTTAATTATCCCACAACAAATGTTGTGATTATTATAATTATATAGGCAGTTTAGGTGCTCCAGTCAAACGGTAACACTGTAGTAGGCTAGTTTGACTAAGACAAAATTAAGGACATTATCCAAGGTACTAGCTACTTCCCTATAGCTGAATTTCCAACAGCGTTTTCTCTTATATAAATTTTAACATGTTATAAATAAGCACAACGCAAGTTTGATTTTTATTAGTGAATTCCCAGTATGGGGATAAGATATTACTGATTAGGTCTCATGGTAGTGCCAAGGATCACTTCTTATCGAGGTTTGTAAAAACATTCGATTACGTGTAAAATAAATTCCGGATTGTTAGTAAATGATACTTAAAGGTGACTTGTTATCTAAGTTACGCTGTATATATTTTATATACATATGCATGTACTAGCGAAACCATCGTGACTTCGATAACGAAAATTTACATTAAAAAGTGAATGTTTAATCTGATAGGCCAACAAATAATTAGAAAAACATATTAGATATATGTTATCACGTAATATAGTTAAGCAAGTGACTGACGAAGTTTAAACTAAGGGAACCCTTATTTACAACAATCAAAAGACCTTCCACCAAGAGCTTCTGACTACTCACTCTGAAACCACCTACAAAATATGTCTTTGGTCAGGATGCTATCCCCTCTTCATCTCTTTTCAGTTAGGCGTACATGCTTAAGCCTAAGATTCCAATAGTACAGCAAGTTCTGCCATAACTATATTTAAAAGTAGTATCTTAAAACAATATTAAGTAATGTAAAACATTGCACGATGTTTTATTGTGGTTCTCAAACCCTCAAAGGTTCTAAACAGTTACAAGTCTACAGTAGGTATCTACGATGGTTTCACCAATCACGTTTTTATGTGTCTGAATGTACACAAATAAAATTGGCTTTTCTGGAATCTACAGTAAAATGCATGATTAAAACCATAGACTAACCAAAACACAAATGCAGTATGTTTTATCTAGGTTTAAGCTTTAATATCATAAATAAATGTCTACACATCAAAAAAGTCTAGCTATGAATGGACGGGATTGTACTTATCAAAAACTTTTGATCTTTTCTATTGAAAACCAATTATAAATAGTTTTTAAGTGATAGGAGAATGTAGATGTCATCCGTTATTCAAATAATAGACTTGGCATAGAAATAATTGTTCCTTTGACATCGACAATCTGAACAGATAGCAGAGAACACACGTATTTTAAAAACCACGACAAATAGAGCAAATAATGATATTTTAATTAATTTAACTATTAAAAATATTGTTTTATGCAGTAAAAAACTTTTACGGAACACTAAACTGTGTTAAAACAATCTTCCCACGCAAGGATGTAGTCAAGAAAACAGCCGTTTGCCGCCAGCTTAATCAAAAGCAGTTTCATTAGATACCACTGTACTGTAATGAGTTTTTACTGGACACCAACCAGCCGATTATTTTTGGCAATGAGTGGTTATAAAGAAAACCTAGAGGTCATGAGTGGTGATTGTTAGTTCTTTAGTCGGTGGTATAAGAATTTGTGCAGAGATGTTTTATTGTTAAGTTAGCTTAGAGTGGTATGGCGTACAATATTGTACGTCTCTCGTCCAAAATGTGTTAACCGAACTCGCATGGTAAACTCATGGATCAAGGGAAGTGAGTTTTATGGGGTATTCATTGGCTTTTCACACTTTCGGCCATAAAAACAAAAAATATTCGATTTCTATTTAAACCATTTTGTTGAGCTTAAAAGACAAATAAGTTTGTACAGTATTATGAACTAATTTTGCACAGTTTTATTTTACAGTGAAAATTCAAAAAATATATACAGTATATATTTGAAATTCCAATCTTCTTCTTATGAAGAATACTTAAATGGTTGTAGTTTGCTTGTTTATGGATATATTTTGATAAAAGTTGGCAAATTTATTTATTGTACAATAAGCTGTATTGACGTATATTTATTGTATATTTATTTATTGTATAATAAACTGTATTGACATCTTACTAAAAAAACCAAAGTGGATAGCAAACCGTTACTTAAATACGCAATCAATCTGACATGTTTAAGGATATATTTCAGTGAAATGCTAATCAGCAGTATATATTGCACTATATATTGCAGTGAAATGCAGTGAAATGCTAATCAGCCAAATGGAAATTAGCCTAGTCTACAGGTTTGCTGCGGCCGGGGTATTTTTATCTTCTCACAAAGACACGCACTGGTTCCTCTAACATCAATTATTATTTTATATCCATACAAGATGGTTTGCATTGCACATGAGGCATATTCTTCGTTACATGCGTTCCTGGCCATCAACCATCATTTCTCATAATTAGCGGAAGTGCACTACCCTTATACAGGAAGAGAGGCAGTCTGATAGATATATCACCATCGTTAATTCCTAAGGTGAGGATCGAATAAAATCTGCTACCTCATCATGGTGATCAGTGTTAGTACAACTTCAACGTTCCTAGGGTAGTAATATTGGTATTACCGTATTAATTTATGTGATTTTATTTATTTATTTATTTGTTTACGGTATAACACCATTTTTACAGGGTTGACATAACAGGGTTGACATGCTGATCAGATACAATATTGAAAGATCCTAATTAAATTTTCTTCCCTTCTGCCTTTTCTCATGCTCTTTTACTTTTTTTTTGTTTTTTGCAGGATTTATTAAAAGGCAGATAGGGACTAACATCACATGCTAATGGAAAAAAACTGGTTGAATAGCAAGCATAACAATGGATAGAATTAGGTAAAAATAACAATCGATAAATACTACAAGAAAACATGCGACTAGATAACAGAAAGATAATACATACATCAATTCAATACTAACATCACATGCTAATAGAAAAAGAAAAACTGGTTGAATAGCAAGCATAACAAAGGATAGAATTAGGTAACAATAACAATCGATAAATACTACAAGAAAACATGCGACTAGATAACAGAAAGATAATACATACATCAATTCAGTACTAACATCACATGCTAATAGAAAAGAAAAACTAGTTGAATAGCAAGCATAACAATAAATAGAAATTTGGAAACAATAACAGTCGATAAAATACTACAAGAAAACATGCAACTAGATAACAAGAGAGATAAAACTACATCAATAGTACAAGCAATATCAATAAACTAGTGACAGACGGCAATAATGACTAGGGAGCATTGATAAGGAAGCATTGACAGAGAATTAAATTATTACACAAGACCTGTACAATTAAATCACAGCAGAACGAGATTACTGTTCCTCAAGAACCGAAGACGCAATCCTCTTGACAACCCGTGGACAGCAGTCAAAGAAGTCCACATAATGACAGAGACGATTGCCGAGTCGATGCAGTCTAGGCAGAGGGCTATAAAGTTCATAGTTCGTGGAGCAGTGTTGGCGAGCAAACAGCACATTGGAACGAGTGGATCTAGGTGGGGAAACATGCAGGTCAATCAGCGCAAGCAGATCAGGACAGTTGATTCGTCCATTTAGTATCTTGAACAGGAACATGGCATCACTGATTTCCCTCCTCTTGGCCAGGGTATCAAGTCCAAGAAACCTTCTGATGTCCTGGGTAGGTACATCCCGGTACATGTAACCCATCCTACACCCAATAAGACGTAGAAATCGGCACTGGACACTCTCCAGACGATCAATGTAGCACTGTTGGTGGGGTGACCATATAGAGCTACAATATTCAAGTCTTGACCTCACCAAAGAAATGTACAGTGTGCGAAGCGCCTCTATACTCAGACCACATCTAGAGGATCTCATGATGAGTCCCAATATCCTGGTGGCCTTAGAATAAATTTCCTCAATATGGCGTGAGAAACTCAGATCCGCAGACAGTACAACTGCGGAGTATTTTGTATTTACATATACGGAAAGTAAATAAAAGAAACGTCTTATAACACTTAAAACATATATTTACGCTTATACTGTTACTCACAAGACGGTAAATATACAAAAAAGGTGGTAAGTTGTGATCGATTTCGATTGGACACTCCAATCATCATCAGACCCAATAGGCGAATGACAAGAATCTTGAATGGCGTCCCTACTTATACCCTATTGGCTACCGGAAGCACCGGCCAATACATGTTTATAAGTACAACTGGAATCAAAATGTATTTGTTCATTAATCAACTTATTTCTATCTTTACATTTTTCCTTATAAATATACAATTCTTCCCAAGCATTCATTACATATCCTTTCTTACAATTCTTTAAAATAACTAGACTATCCTCCATTTTTCCTAGTGAGTGCCCATTTTGTAACAGGTGTTGTGCGACATTTGATCTTTCCGGTTTGTTGTTCCTCCATGCAGATATGTGGTTTTTGAAGCGGTTAACGAAGTTCACAGTCTGTCCAATGTAGAAGCTATCACAATCGTTACAATTGATTTTATATATGCCTGAAGTGTCGAATTTGTTACAATCTTCTATTTTTGGATGCAGTATTTTACTCATGGTGTTCTGAGTCCTATAGGCTATTGAAACTCCGTATTTCTTGAATCTGTTAGCAGTCCTTTGTGTTGTAGTCCCCGTGTAGCTAAATGTGATATATCTAGTGTTTTCCTCTTTTATCTCTTCTAATGTTGTTCTGCTGTGTAGTGTATTCTGTCTATCGATTTTCCTCCTCGTCTTCCTTGCGATGTCCTCTATCGTCTTGGTCCGAAATCCATTCACTTGAGCGATCTTCTTAATGGTGTCCAGTTCTTTTTTCCTATTGGCTTGGCTAAGTGGGATCTTATAGGCTCGGTACAGCATAGATCTAAAGGCTGCGGTCTTGTGGATTGTCGGATGGATAGACTTGTTGTTGATTGTAGTGTCCGTTTGCGTAGGTTTCCTGTAAATGTCAAACTCTATCTTGCTGTCTTTTCTCTCTAATGTGAGGTCCAGGAAGTTGATCTTTTTGTTTTCTTCAAACTCGTTGGTAAAGGTGAGGTTCGGGTGGTGGCTGTTTAGTGTCTGCATCATCGTTTCGTGCTCCTGCTCCTGGGCTTGTCTGAAGATAACAAGAATGTCGTCTACATATCTAACATACAGTTTTACATCATGATTTTTTCTTAAATTCGTTAACATTTCTTTTTCCTGATGCTGTAAAAATATTTCTGACAAAATTGCCGAAAGTGGACTTCCCATAGCTAAACCATCTGTTTGTTCGTAAAATCTATTGTTAAATCTAAAATAATTTTGCTTCAAAACAGTCACAAGTAATTTTACAATCTGATTGACATATTCATCGTCTAAACTATTCTGTAAAAGCCTACATTTAACAAGATCTACAGTTTCGGATACAGGTATGTTTGTGTACAGATTTGCGATATCAAATGAGACTAGCCTACTATTCGAATCTATATCTATGTTCTTGACACGTTCAACAAATTCATAACTATTCTTTACATTGTATACATATTCTAATTCTAAATCATTGCTGAGCTTACTTGCTAACAATTTTGAAAAATTGTAGGTAGGAGCACATATAAAGTTAACTAATGGTCTGATGGGTACATTCTTCTTGTGTATTTTTGGGATCCCTTTCATCACGGGCGCTTTAGAATTTAGGATGTTCATCTTCTGTCGACATTCTTCGGGAATCACTCTGGTGCATCTCTTCACGACGTCGGACAGCTCTCTTTGGTACTTCTGCGTTGGATCCTTTTTCAGCTCTTTGAAGTTATTTTCTTTGATGAAATCTTCCGTCTTCTTTATATATTCTTCTTTTCCGAGCACTACAATGGCGTTGCTTTTGTCTGCTTTCACAACGATTGAGCTATTCTCTTCCAGTTTCTTCTTTATTTTGCTGCACGTCTTCAGTTCTTCATTTCTGCTGGGATCTATGGGTCCTTGGCTGGTGAAATCGTTGGCTGTTACTTCCTTCCGAACGGCATAATGGTCTACGTCTCTGAGTGATTTTACATTTGCTTCAACTCCAGTAGCTAGTAGTTCGTTTTCGTCCTTCTTCTTCATTGGGAAATTGTACTTCATTCCGTAGTTCAGTATTTTCGTTTCTTCTTCACTGAATTGAATGTCTGTAAGGTTGATGACTCTCTTCTGGAATTTGTGTTCTGTACTGGTCCTATCTAAGTCTTCATTAGGTGTATTCTTCTCTACGAGTTTGTCTAATTTGTCGTTTATCCGTAAATATTTACTGTCCATGGCATCTTCAACCTCTTCACTGACGACTTCGTGTAGTAAATTCCATGCTATTAGTCCGTATGATCTCAAAAATTGTAGGTGGATGTCGTAAGCAATCTGGTTCAGTTCTTCTTTTTCACAGTAAAGTTGTTTGATCATATTTTGGATGAATAATACCTCTCCTTGTTCCTTGGTTCTTTTAGCGGCAGTAGTGTTACAGATGACCTTGATTTTAGCGTATTGTGGTGTAATTCTCTTCTTGATACATTCTTTGTTGAAGTAAATATCTGCAATCTTCATGGAAATCTTGATTCTTGTATCCCTATATTTTGCTGCTAATTTTGCTTGACTAGCTTCACTAAATAACTTCTTGATCAGCATTGTACGTGTTATTAAATTTACGGAAAGTAAATAAAAGAAACGTCTTATAACACTTAAAACATATATTTACGCTTATACTGTTACTCACAAGACGGTAAATATACAAAAAAGGTGGTAAGTGGTGATCGATTTCGATTGGACACTCCAATCATCATCAGACCCAATAGGCGAATGACAAGAATCTTGAATGGCGTCCCTACTTATACCCTATTGGCTACCGGAAGCACCGGCCAATACATTTTTATAAGTACAACTGGAATCAAAATGTATTTGTTCATTAATCAACTTATTTCTATCTTTACATTTTTCCTTATAAATATACAATTCTTCCCAAGCATTCATTACATATCCTTTCTTACAATTCTTTAAAATAACTAGACTATCCTCCATTTTTCCTAGTGAGTGCCCATTTTGTAACAGGTGTTGTGCGACATTTGATCTTTCCGGTTTGTTGTTCCTCCATGCAGATATGTGGTTTTTGAAGCGGTTAACGAAGTTCACAGTCTGTCCAATGTAGAAGCTATCACAATCGTTACAATTGATTTTATATATGCCTGAAGTGTCGAATTTGTTACAATCTTCTATTTTTGGATGCAGTATTTTACTCATGGTGTTCTGAGTCCTATAGGCTATTGAAACTCCGTATTTCTTGAATCTGTTAGCAGTCCTTTGTGTTGTAGTCCCCGTGTAGCTAAATGTGATATATCTAGTGTTTTCCTCTTTTATCTCTTCTAATGTTGTTCTGCTGTGTAGTGTATTCTGTCTATCGATTTTCCTCCTCGTCTTCCTTGCGATGTCCTCTATCGTCTTGGTCCGAAATCCATTCACTTGAGCGATCTTCTTAATGGTGTCCAGTTCTTTTTTCCTATTGGCTTGGCTAAGTGGGATCTTATAGGCTCGGTACAGCATAGATCTAAAGGCTGCGGTCTTGTGGATTGTCGGATGGATAGACTTGTTGTTGATTGTAGTGTCCGTTTGCGTAGGTTTCCTGTAAATGTCAAACTCTATCTTGCTGTCTTTTCTCTCTAATGTGAGGTCCAGGAAGTTGATCTTTTTGTTTTCTTCAAACTCGTTGGTAAAGGTGAGGTTCGGGTGGTGGCTGTTTAGTGTCTGCATCATCGTTTCGTGCTCCTGCTCCTGGGCTTGTCTGAAGATAACAAGAATGTCGTCTACATATCTAACATACAGTTTTACATCATGATTTTTTCTTAAATTCGTTAACATTTCTTTTTCCTGATGCTGTAAAAATATTTCTGACAAAATTGCCGAAAGTGGACTTCCCATAGCTAAACCATCTGTTTGTTCGTAAAATCTATTGTTAAATCTAAAATAATTTTGCTTCAAAACAGTCACAAGTAATTTTACAATCTGATTGACATATTCATCGTCTAAACTATTCTGTAAAAGCCTACATTTAACAAGATCTACAGTTTCGGATACAGGTATGTTTGTGTACAGATTTGCGATATCAAATGAGACTAGCCTACTATTCGAATCTATATCTATGTTCTTGACACGTTCAACAAATTCATAACTATTCTTTACATTGTATACATATTCTAATTCTAAATCATTGCTGAGCTTACTTGCTAACAATTTTGAAAAATTGTAGGTAGGAGCACATATAAAGTTAACTAATGGTCTGATGGGTACATTCTTCTTGTGTATTTTTGGGATCCCTTTCATCACGGGCGCTTTAGAATTTAGGATGTTCATCTTCTGTCGACATTCTTCGGGAATCACTCTGGTGCATCTCTTCACGACGTCGGACAGCTCTCTTTGGTACTTCTGCATTGGATCCTTTTTCAGCTCTTTGAAGTTATTTTCTTTGATGAAATCTTCCGTCTTCTTTATGTATTCTTCTTTTCCGAGCACTACAATGGCGTTGCTTTTGTCTGCTTTCACAACGATTGAGCTATTCTCTTCCAGTTTCTTCTTTATTTTGCTGCACGTCTTCAGTTCTTCATTTCTGCTGGGATCTATGGGTCCTTGGCTGGTGAAATCGTTGGCTGTTACTTCCTTCCGAACGGCATAATGGTCTACGTCTCTGAGTGATTTTACATTTGCTTCAACTCCAGTAGCTAGTAGTTCGTTTTCGTCCTTCTTCTTCATTGGGAAATTGTACTTCATTCCGTAGTTCAGTATTTTCGTTTCTTCTTCACTGAA